TTATAACTTTGATACCTACAATTGAGATTTAAACAAGACCTTAACTGGATTACGTGCTACATTCCGCATCCTAATGACATAAAAGGCCAAACACCAGGTACTTAAGAGTACTTAGAACCCTTGCTATCAGCTTCATGTAGCATGGAAACTCTATTATAAACTATTTTTTCCCCTTTTTTTTATCTTTTCCTTTCTGTCCCCATCCCCTCTTTTTCTGCTATTTATTTGGACTATTCATTCAAAGAAGTGGGTTGTGCCCATGAACACTCATGATACCTCCTGTATTTTTTTGTTAGTCTCTAAGGGTGGGTCTACACTGCACTGTAACTCGATGCTATTTCGAAGTAGCTTATTTGTCTACCCAGCGCCAAATATTGAAATATAGCGCTATTCCAAACATTCCTTACGCCTCGTAGAATGAGGGTTACAGGGACGTCGGAATAGCGAGCCTGAAATAACAGGCTTGCTGTGAAGACATGGGATAGCTACTTTGGGATAATCACGATAGCATTGCAGTGTAGCTGTACCCTAAGGTACTGCAGGATGCTTTGTTCTTTTTTAAGATTTTAATATTATAGACTGACATGGCTCCCCCTCTGAAACATTTGTTTTTGAAGTTATGAGAATTGGCTCTGTACTTGTATGTCACACGTTTGCTTCTAGGCTACATCAACAAGTGACTAGCAGCACTTCACTGACCATGGGCCTTGATAGGTGCCAGTCTACAGCTGAGGAAATGTTCAGACCAGCATGTGAGCGATGGCTGCTACTGAAGGCCTGAGTCACGCATGGACAGGTGACTTGCTCAGCTGACAAACTCCATCTGGAGACACTTTCACACAGTAAAAACAATGAGCAAGGGTATAAAAAAGGACCCTGAGGGCTCCTCCATTTTGTCTTCATCCCTGTCTCCTTTCAGTTCTGTCTTTAGTCCTGCCTGTCACCGCTGAAGGATCTCTGCTATGATCTGAAGCCTGGAAGGACTGGTGACCACCCCAACAGAGGACAAATAATTCCAGAGATTTATAAAACAGCCGATTATTTCATCTCTTGCTACAAGCCTGCACCAAGAGCTTTGCAAATTGGGGTGTAACTTGATTCCTTTAACCATTGTATTCCTTACCACCTTTTCTTTCTTTCTTTTTATTAATAAACCTTTAGATTGTAAAGGATTGGCATTGTGTGCCCTTTTGAGCAGGAGCTGAGGTATAAATTGACCTGGTATGTGGCTGGTCATGTGAGGTTGAAAGAACCTGTTTGGATTTGTTTTCAGAACCCCTCACCTGTACAAGGAGCGGTGCTGGTGGTGGCTCAGAAGCTGGAGTGTCTAAGGTAATTGCTTGTGTCAGGGCCGGCTTTAGGACGTGCGGTGCCCAATTCCAATGAAATTTTGGTTGAGCAAAAAAAAACCCAAAAAACCAAAAAACCAAAACCCAGCACTCAAAGAAACAACTCACAGCCCCTTTAAAGAGTCCAGCCTTCCAGCCAAACCCATGAGCTGACTCCCCCTCCCACAGCGTGCCCGGCACACTTCCAGGTTTAGGGCGTGGGGAATCAGGCAAATCGGCCTAAAGCCGGCCCTGGCTTGTGTGACTTTTTGTTGGCCACTATGGCAAACAGAAGTGCTTTTTGTGACTGGTTTGATCCCTTTAGCAGAGGATCTCTAGTCCCAGGCTGTAAGCAGCCCTGTATCTAAGCAATTTGCCCTGATTTGATCCTCTCAGAGGTGCCCCCAAAACCTACTGTATTACAGACGTAATGTGCTGTGTAAAAAAGGGAAAGTGAGGCACACTACCACATTGCTGTCATGGCTAAATGCCAAGACTGCTTCAATATGGGGAACATGAATATCTACATGGACTTGATCTTAGTTGGATTCCAAACATTTGTCAGAGCTTGCATGGTGTGATGGACCGGGCTGTGTGTGGGCACAGCTGAGGGCGCCCGCTCAGGGCGAATTGCTCAAATCCGGGGCTCCTTACAGCCGTCAGACTGGTGACCTCTCCAAACAGGCCACAAACCAGTCCCACAGAGCGCTTCAGCAGCCTGCCTGAAGCCTTATGAGCAAAACCCCTCTGACACCTCAGCAATATCCGTGCCCCAGATGGCCCCGGGCCTCATAAACAGGTGGGGGGTCCTAGCACCCAATCCCACCTACCCCGAACAAGTTCTGTCCAGTTCCAAGAA